ATGAAATCAAGTTAAGCCCCTCTTTTTTACGGGGCTTAACTCGAACTTTCCAAATTGTGTTTTTTACTTCGAGTTAAGCCTTTGACGATAATGAGTGTGGTTTGGGCGAGGTCTGGGCTTTATTAGAAAAGGGCTTATAACCCGAGGGGCTTAACTCGGGCTACACTAACACTCATTTCAGGCTACAATACATACTTCGATCCGAAATGCACATTAACGATAACACGTCTGAGGACATATAGCTAGGCAGATACAGTTTGTAGGATATTCGGCATTCATCATAATTCTCCTGTTGTTTTCCTTTGTTATATACACGAATCAACATCATGGCCAGAAAGCGAGAAAGATGAATTTCGTTGTGGCATGACGTTGGCTTCAATGTCGCCAGAACATAGTGAAGACGAGCAGACAGCCATCCGAGACGATTCCTCTTCTTCGGATCCCGAAGAAGCCGGCCAAGTGGCAAGGAAAATCATAAAAGTGAAAAGACTATCCTGCAGGAGTGACAGATTTACAAAAATATTGGATGCTCTGAACAGAGAGCACCTCAGAAAGGTGACCGAGAAGTGCGGATTTTTTGGACAAACAATCACAGTCGAATCTCTAGAAAATATCCCGAATTGGATGAAGAACATTGACGGCTCTCAGGGCTAAGCAACTGAAAGAAACATTATTGGCATTACTGCTTTTGTTCCTATGACGTTTGTTTCATTTGGTTCTCCTTTATCATACGGCATATTTTTAAAATAGTGCCCGCCTCGCAATTCATGAACTATGAATTAACGATTCCCCATATTACGTTTTCGTACCGCGTTGCATTGTGGTTATAGTGGTATCACTGATAAAGATAGCGGCCTCGAATAAAAATATTGAATCTTTTCGCGAAAATTGTTCTATTGGCTATCGTGCACCTGAGCCTTGCTTCTTTTAAAAGTTATTGCACGGGTCAGGACAAAAAATAAGCCATCTTGAATATCAGTGATACCACTATAACCACAATGCAAAGCGATACGAAAACGTAATTAGGGGAATCATCAATTGAAGGCCAAGAATGAAGCTGTTAAGCTCGCTCTTCTCTTTATCCTGCTGCTAGCGTGGATCAAACTAGCGTAAATTATCGATCGCAAGCGTTAACTTTAAATTTTGAAGGGCAGAAAAGAGGAAATCTTATCAGTATATTCTGACACTAAGTCAGCACATTTCGCATGTAAATGTATTTCACATTTCGCGTGATGCTTTGTTGAAGTATATTATGCTTCTTTCCATGTTTTATGAGTTTTAGCTTGCGACGACTACCGTCTCGTTTGATCTATATTAACGAACTAAAGATGCACCAAATGTACGACGCGATTAAAGTAACAGTCCCTAATAATCGGAAATCAGTATTTTACTTTGTTTTTCTCGTGTCTCTACCAACAACTATGCATAATTTTTACCAGGCCGCGTGAAGTGAAACTGGGAGAATACGCAAAATAGCGGCAGTACTAGTTTTTCGTCATGTCCGCGTCGTAGATTTCATGAATCTTCTGTCCACGTGCGTTCAGCTAAATGCCAATTGAATCAGTCAATTAATTGACAATTTACAATATATAGACAATAATTTTCGATCTGGGCAAAAAAGGTATATTCCCAGAAAGAACATACTAAAATTATTAAAATTGCAAAATTTGATTGCAAAATGTTGCAAATGATGCGAAAAATTTACCTTGCAAAGTTCGCAAATTTTGTATACTTTTGTTGATAAGGCCTAAATATGGTATAGGCATTTCAAGCCTTATATAGAGGGAAATTTGCAAACCGGGTTTGCAAGGCTATATATTTTCCTCATTTTACGACCCTTCGCAATCAAACTTTGCAATTGCAAATTTTAAGATGCTCTTTTTATACCAGCGCTGACAATCGGCGAAGTTATTTTAAGTATGATACTTGTGATTTAATTAGGTATTTCCGGCTATATATCTGTATATTTGGGTCAGGGTGTGTTAAAAATATGATAAATATATATTAATTGTTACGTTATTAAACAAAACCTGAATGGTTTTTAAACTTTGGTCTTATGAGTTTGAATCGAGTGGATCACTGACGATCAGAAAAATTCAAAGACTTTTTTGGTATTGCTTTTTTTCATCCTGCCTTCACGTAAAAGTTGCTAGAAAATTTTCGCATAAGGAGGACCGAATTCTGGCAAGCCATTTTTGGAAACAACCCTAATCCTAATAATCAAGTGGATACGGATCTTCTCAATGCCAAGGATTTAAACAAAAACGATGAATTTGACAAGAACATGTTAAGTGGGTACAGATATGAAGTATTAGGTGGTACCCATAATTTTCTGGCCACAAAAGCTCTGGCTTCAAAACATCCTGATTGTGAAACCTTCAAAGGAAGTTATGCTTGGCTATTTGCTGGACTGTCTGATCAAGAAGCATTGTGGGTTGCCACCAGACACAACAAAACTGGATCATTCAGGCATGAAATATCTTTTCAAGAAGAGGTAATTCAATAGTCCAGGAATTTATATGATAAAATTTGAAACCCTTCATTATTACGAGACAATTATTTCACCGCTATAAATTGTAACAATGTCAGGCATTTGCTGGGAACCTTTGATTGTTGGTATGTCATACTGTATGTTGTTCATACAGTACATATCATGCAACTAATTCAAAAAAGATTGTCCTTATTTGCAAACCTTACACTCTAAACATTAAACTTTAAATTCTAAGCCTGCAAAGCATAATGGGAGTATCATTTGATCAGTTTAGAAATCATACAGTATATGGGGCCCATTTCTAAGAGACATGGTAAATATATCCTTACAAGAACAATTCATTCACAAACAGGTGCACCCATTAAGATTTTAAGGTTTAAAATAAGTTTTACAGTTTAAGGTTTGCAAAGGACAACCTTTTCTGAATTACATAATAGATAGCTTAAGATCTACGACGTCGACGTCAGCTAGGACGTCAGGGCTATGCAGAGGACTGGGACTAGGATGTCGTCCTAATGTACTGTAGTCCCAGTCCTCTGCTTAGCCCTGGCGTCCTAGCTGGCGTCGACGTCGTAGATCTTAAGCTATCTATTATATAGTTGCTGCGGAGCGAGTGAGCCTGAAGCGAGCGAGCGTAGCAGCAGCCTAATATGTGCAGAGAGGGGGTTTTGAACTAAATTTTATTAAGCGCATGGAATTGTGGTCGTACGCGCTTTCTATGTGCAGAACACAAATTTAAAACTCGCTCGAGTCTTCGAATTTTTATCGAATTTCTAAAGCTTTTTCAAGTCTAATGTTACGCTTACATTTGTTTTGAAATTTGGCCACTGTCAGTTCTTTATAACGTTTTGGTTTCTTAGTGTGATAAATATGTGTATATAGTCTATATAATGTGGTAAATGCGCCTAGCAGTAAACAGACTTGATATGAAATCTGATCTTAATTTACCTGTATGTCAATGAGACGCACATGTTTAATATCTGTCACCTCTGATTGCCCTTTAAC